CCCTGGACAAGAGCCTCCATTTCCTTGGTGACTTTGCACCTTTTCTTCATCCTTTTTAGATCCACTACCAGTGTATCGCTTGAAGGTGCCTTTGCTTTTGTTGGTGTAGAGCGCTTCCTCTTCACTCTTCAGTGAGACTCCTCCCATTTGCTTGGCCATAGCTTCTTGACCTGCAAGCAAATTTTCAAACTCAACAAGCGATGGTTGTGTCGGCCATCCTTGTATAGCGGCAATGAACCCTCGATATTCGGGTCTCAAACCATGGATAATTATTCTCTTCATCCTGGTTTCCCCAATAGGAGCTGTTGGATCTAATTCTGAAATTTCGCGGCATATCGACTTCACCTTGTGAAAGTACTGGGCAATCGTCATGTCGCGTTGTACCATCGATAGCAGCTCATTCTCGAGAAGTTGCAATTTTGTATCGTTCCTCTTCAAAAAGAGTGTAACAAAAGTGTCCCATGCTTCCTTTGGCGTTTTAGCATCCCGAATGTGCTCCAACATTTCTTCTTCTATTGTGGTCTTTAAAGCAAACATTGATTTGCCTGCTTTAATTTTCCACTTCCGCAAGATGCCGTTAGCATCTTCCGCTGCCGGTTGTGTAGCTTCACTACCACCGACAACCTCCCACAAGTCTTGACCTTGAAGGTAAGACTCTATACACGTTGCCCACGTGTTATAGTTTTGGTTGTTGAGCTTCTTGATTCCTCCAACAACTTGAAGATCACCCATCGTATCGGCAAGACTTTGACTACACCGAACAAGCTTGAGTGACTACCGTGCAGAGTAATACACTACTCTCGACACAAAGAAGCTCCCTCTCAAGGTTTGTGATAACCCCAACAATAATCTCAAGAAATCTTTTCTGATGTGGAAGATCAGTCAAAACTGCAACCACAGAGCATACTCGGAATTTCAAGAGACTTTACAACCAATGCTCTACCAAGAACGATCCCTGACCGACTTGGCTCTGATACCAATTGTTGAATAAGAAGAGTATCCAAGATAACTCTAATGATCCCAAGAAGAAGAAAATAGAGCACACTCTTAAAGAAAGCTCACAAAACAAACTAATTAGCAAAGCTTTTCTTATTTAGCTCTAGGCTTTGTTTTTCCTTGGATGATATACAATGCTTGGGGACTTGGGTATTTATAGCAAACCAAATGAAAGCTACACCACACACTTAATTAAACTAAGATTATTTACTACCACACAAAACCCATTAATTGCACCTAATTTTTTTCCACTCAACCATACCTAACATTGACTAACTTTGCAATTGTAAGCAATTACATCATCAAACTAGATATGGACTTGGACTTTAGATTGGGTTGTGGATTACTTATGGTTTTGGGCTTGACATTGATTCTCAACAAGGTATGATTCCCTTCCCAAACTCGTTGTCAACATAGATGGGCACTACTTCTCTCCAACCAAAGGCTTGGATGATGGCACTTATCGCCTTCACTTGGCATGAGTCATTATGTGTTACTCTGAAAAAATATGCACTTCGAATCGAACTGAGTGTTGGGCTTGTTGCTGAATGTGAGATTATGGGGACTTGGGCATTGTCTCCAAAGCTGATTACGAAGTTGGTCTGCGTTGATGACTCCGGTCCTATGACGGCTTGCACTTTAGCATTCTTTGTAAGCTGTAAAGCTATTAATGCGAAAATGAAAATGGGGAACTGAATTAAAACCTCATTTAGTTCCTACTTTAAATGAGCCAGTGAACAAAAAAGGAAAGTAGTACCAGGCACCAACTTATTTTTCTAACTTTTCAGTTCACTAGAAATAATTAAATTATCATATCAGTCCGTATCCAAAAGTTCGGAAAATTAAAAACTAATGAAAAATGAATATATCAGATTCCAGAAAAACAAAAGTCAATGCAATAGGATGCAAAGTTTCTCATCATCGACAAAAGAATAAGATGAGGTTTTGATTAGCGCAACAAGATACGATACAAAAGAAGGGAATACCAACTCATAAGAAAAACGATATGATAACTTACCTGCGGAAGCTGTGGCAACGACATTTGAAGAGGAGTTCCTTATGTGCAGAACAAGCCTTGTCTTGTAGCTAGGGTGCGAGGCATAGAAGTCGGAGAGGGCCATGCTGATGCAGCTCAGTGCCATCTTCCCAAATCTGCTATTTGAGTCAACGACAACACCCACATTTAGTGGGATAGTCTTGGTTTCCTGTGCCATTGCCAAGAAAGCAGACGTAAACCATTACTTTAGGGGTGTAGTCAATTTGAATTTCAGAAGATTTTAATCGATTAAGTGATAGATTTCAAAGGATTTTAATGTACTAACAGTTCTATATGGATTTTGACAGATTTATATGGATTTATATTATAGATTTTTGTGGATTTGTATGAATTTTATTTGTAAATTTTGATGAATTTGCATAGTCTTTTCTTTTCATTTATCTTTATTAGGTTTTTTTTATTTATTTTTTCAAATAGCAAAAGAAAAACCATTTTCTCCCTCCATGCCCTAAAACATGATTGTGCAGCTGCTTCCTTTTCAAGCCGGCCTGTCAACCCAATTCACACTTTTTAATTGTCTTATCGATTTTCTGTCTACCTGAAGAATGATTGTTTTTTATTCAAATTCAATTCGGAGCATGGACGGGTTATTCAATTGGATTTTCAGGTGCAAATCAAATTCTTCTTCTTTGGTTTTGATTTTTTTACCAGTGGGTCGATATGTTCTTACATTATAGAAGGTGGGTTTTGAATTTTGGTCTTACTTTGCAGATTGGATTGGTAATCAAACTTCTGGGTTTGATTTGAAATGGTATATTTCTGTAGCTCAAGTCAATCTGCAACTCTATTGACAAACTTGCCACTTCCATGGCAGATTCAATGACTTTAACCGACCCTTTATCAAATCGAGGCATACAAATATAAAGAACAATAGTGGAAAGGGTCAAAGGTGTGCGAGTGAGTATTGATTCACCAGTATATTGACCAGTGAAGTAGTTCTCCTACTACTTATGGCTGAGAAGTGATGGCCGAAGAGAGAGAATCGAACATAAGCTTGAAAGAAATCAGGGGTTGAGGTGGGATTATATTTGGTGTTGGGTATATATACTTCAAGCTCTCAAATTCAACGAAATCCACTTCTTCATGAAATACTATCAAATTTTTATTTTTTGAATACCCATAGATTTAGAATCATTCTAAAAATGTTTTTTAAATCTCACTTGAGTACCTTTGGATTTGAATGTATTTTTAAAATCTTCTTAAATCTTAATTTGACTATAGCATAATTTCAAAGTCTTTTAAAATCTTTTTCTAAAATCTTAATTGACTATCCTCTAATTTTAAAGTCCATTAAAATCATGTCAAATCCTAATTTGACTACCCCCTTAGTCTAAAAGAAGTGGGAGAATCCCATTGTACAAATGAACCACATTTCAGTTTATTTACAAGATTGCCACTCGGATGCTTTTAGCTTTTTACGAAGATGCCATCGGTTTGAATGACGGGAATGCTCGTCTAGGGTTAACATCGTACGGTTGGGGGTAAAAGTTGGGTGGGCATTGTTGTCAATTAGGGTTGCATTCGGTGGGATCGATGGTTCAGTGCGGGATTTGGTGGGAAGGCATGCTGCTTGCAGAGAGGAGGAGAGAGAAGGAAGGAGGGAGGGGGAGGGAAGGAGAGAGGGGTTTGGTGAGGGGAAGCATGCGACTTGCAGAGAGGAGGGAGGGAGGGAGAAGCTTAAAAGCAACTGCAGCAAGTTCAATGGACAGGGTCGCAGTAATGGAGACACCTCGCTCTGAACCATTTCCCCTCTCCTAAGGCGAATGCTGAAAAAAGTTTTGAAGGAACAAAAAGAAGAAGACCTACACATAATAGAATCTGATTCGCAAGGAAAAGAAGAAAGCCAGCTTTTCAACGAAAAAGCTAAAAGCAATCCCTTCGACCTCTTCATCGGCGGCGGCACCCACGACCACCGGTTCACTTTTAATTTAATTTTAATTGTTTGCTTTTTTAGTGGATTAAAGAATATGAAATGAATTATAATTTAAAATGGTGAAATTTTGTTGATTTTTGCGTTCAGTGTTCTGAGTGATCATCAAGCTGTGATGGGTTGGTGTTGGATTTGATTCAATTGAGGTAAAAGCTCTGCATGATTGTCACACGGAGAAAATGCTAGAATCCTACCTTCGATCCAAATATCTGATTTTTGTTACAATTGTTATTTTCATTGCAGGAAAATGTGGTGGAGACAATAATTCCCAAATCCTCGAGTTTTATGAATGCATTCCAATTGATAGCCATGTCAAATGATCTCGATTTGTCAGGTATGTTCGATGAACATGCAAGTTTAAAAGAAATAGATTTACTGAAATAACTAATCCTACTTTTTTAGCTTATAACGAATAATGTTGAACTGTTAATTTAATTTAGGATGAGAAATAGAAGTGGCTGCAACGGATGCGAGTCTTTCTGTAGCAAGAACAAACAACTTCAGGGTACACGAAACTTATATTCAATCTTTCTTCTTTATCCGCTTATCAAAGTTCCTTCCTGCCAACTAATGATGTATTATTTTTTTCACCATATGTAAATGCATGCAAAATTTCCAATGGAAACGTAAATCACCATAGCCAGGTAAATCCGAATTGTAGATTAGACTTATATTACAATTTGCTTTCTTTGTGAAATTTTATTGTAATTTACACTAAAGTCTCTGGCTATTGAAATTCTATATGAAATTGTGAATGTTGTTCGGAATCGAGTCCGGCCGAGTTCTTTACTAAATAGTGCAAAAACATGCATGATGGAACTAAATTACTTTTGTATCATCTATATTTACCTGTTATCATAACAGGATTTAACATATAGAAACATACTGCTTATAGGATATTAAGGTTGAAGTCATTTAGTTCCAAAGATGCCATAATTAATGTATAATTGAGTGAAATGCCAGTTTAAATAGATATTGTGCTTATTTGTTTTAGGTGGATTACTAAAAGGAGCTCATCAAGTATTCTGCGAGCACGATCGACCTTGATCATTTGGATATTTAAAGGAGCCATTGATAAGGGGAAGACGACGAGTTGTGAACCTGTGTGGCAATTTTGCCAATTTTGCAGACAAGCAAAAACTCTGGCACAATGATCAAACAGGCTTTCATGTTGCGTATTTTGATTAATAGCTGTGAAATCCACTGTGTGTCACACCACAAACGGTCTCGCCTCCGTCCTATCCTCCTCTTGCCGCCGTCTCCCTTCTCTCGCCTTCGTCGTCTTACTCCTCCTTTCTCTGTCTCAGGAATCCTATCGTCATCTTCCTCGCATGCAAGGCTCTGGCCCTCTCAATTGAAACCAAAACATGTTTCAGGTGCCTACCACAACCTCTCACTACTCACTCACATCAGTTGGTTTTTGTAATTTGAACTTATCTTTCTAATAAATTTGTATGCTTTCTAGATTTTTTATGACAGTTTTGGACCTTTTCTTTTCTGAATTTGTGTGCTTCTCTGGGTTTTTTTATGGCAGTTCTGGGGAAGAGCAAGAAAAAGGAAGAACCAGTATTAGAAGATCTTCCCAAAGAGTACTGTGATGATGTGAGTGCCTTTATCCTGTAACTTGGCCAAATGGGTGCTCAAATTTCATGTCTTTCTGTGATTATATGAGTAAATTTTTGTATTTTGTTTTTGGGTTTTGCCAAATTCAATGGTTGTATTTATGGGTTTGGTATTGATTTTCAGTTAACAATGACTTTGGGGAAATTGATCGAGTCTGCATTCAAAGTAACATTTCATGCAGTTACATACTGATGAAATAGAATTCCATTTTTTCATTCCCTTCTTCATTTTTTAAATGCAGTTATATTTATATGATGATTTACAGCATATATTCATCTTTTAGTTTCTAATTCTTCATGCAGTCTAAGCCATGAAGGATTTGATAAACCCACAATTGATAACAGCGGCGGTACAGCTAGCATTTTTGGCCATGTTTGATATTATTCAAGCTTGGTCAGAAATTGATGGAATCGAGTAAAAACGAATCTTCGTTTATATAAAACATGATCGATTGGAGAGAACAATTAGGAAATGTACACCGAAGGCTCTCAACTGGGTATTAATTATGAATAATGTATAGATTAATACAAGTAAAAGAAGAATCTACACTTTTAATGCTATGCTCAGATAATGTATTCAAGTTGCAACGAAAAACATTGACAAGTTGGCATTTGACAAATTGGACTTAAATTCAAAGTTGAAGCATACTACTCTTGAATCTTGACTACGCGCTACATTGAAAGCAGCCAACTAGAATTTAAATTCCGGATGTAAATTTACTTGACAGGACCTATATATAAAATAAGACTTGAACTCGAGTGCATAGGAGAGCATACATCTATTGTACTCAATGTAGGCTACGCCCATATATATCTAAATACTTGAATTGTTTTAATAATAAAGAATTAAAGGAATGTGAAGGTGGATGGAGAGATTCAGAAATTCTGATTCTACATGATAGTATGGTTCATATTAGAATTGAAGAAATGGTACAACTTATATAAACAGGTTATTCTAGGCCACACTGGTTTCTATTTCTTTTTCTTCACCACTTAATCTTTTTTGTTTTCTTCATTGAGGATAGCAAGCTGAATTGTTGGAACTATCTCCGGAGACGAATAACCAGTAGTCGATGGAGTTTGTTGCCCTTCATACAATCCCAAATCCTCATCTGTGTGGTTCAAATTGCTGAATGAACCTTCCAGCCAGTTGCTATCAGGTGATGCCTTAACTTCATCTCCACTACGAGCAATTCCATCTCGTTGTTGACTGCTTTTGTGGGAGTTGAGGTCTTTTTCGTTGAAAATTCTAATCATGGCTCGAATCCTTCTCCATCTTGAAGCTCTTGAATTAGGGTGCTCCAATATATGCCTATGATTGTAAAGGAATGAAGCTACAAAGATGACTAGCGCGAGAATTGACGTCAACCCGACAATGAGGAATAGGCCCCAAAAGCTTTCAAGGCCAAGACTGCCGCTTGAAAAACTTGGAGTGCTGGAGTTATCTTCACAATCGATTTCTTGGGCGAACCATTTGCTTTCAATTTTCTTCATCTTTTCTCCTTCTGTCACGTTTAGGATCGCCCGTGAAATATCAGGCACAAGAGGAGAATGCTTTGGAAACGCCTGCAAAGACACCTCGAAAAAGTCATCATCTTTTGCTGGCATATGTTGTAACGGAGTAGAGCATGAGAAAATGCAAAATCACTATCCTAATATATACATAGGTATATGTTATATATTTAGGCAAAAAATCATCTTACAAAGGCAAAACCATCCGTTTTGAAGATAGGACCAATCATGGTATATTTGGAACAATATTTTGCAAGAAAAAGCTTCATGTTGGGGGTTTCATTAACAAAAGCAGTAATGCCACCACTTTTGCTCCCTTTGGAAAGAGCCTCAGCACAATCTTCCGTGGATTTCATAGCCTTAAGCTTGGACTCATCAAAACCGACTTGTTTCAAAAGTTCATAGACGAAAGAATTCTTCATGTAGCCGACATTGTCCCCATTCCTTAGAAGATCCTTTATATCCGTGACGGTTGGCCGCACCTGCTCAGCGGTTAGTAGTGATGCTAGATTAGCTGTGTAGCTTTGTGTCAAAACTAGCACAACAAATACCCATATAACCATCAAGAATCTACCCAAGTTGCTAACCACTCTCTCCCCTATAATAGTGAATAACAAATTTAAGTGTCAATATAGGCACATCTTGAAGGAAGAAAAATCAAGCGCAGTCCAAATATTATGAAATCTTTACTCGAAATTTGGGAGAGGTGATATGAATATACTTACTATTTGAAAAGACCATGGTTGAGAAAGAGAAGAAAAAGCTTGTGCCAACTTGGTGTGAGGGAGGACCCCGAAAATCTTCGTTAATTCGATGTTCAAGCACCCAAATTACAAAGCCAATGAAGATGAAGAAACAAAAAGTTGTAAGCCATAGGTCCCATGTCAGAGGCTTTAAAAAAACCCATGCACTTTTGCTCCTGGTGTCGGTGATTGGCACAACCATGACTACACCGGATTCTGTATATGGCATTGTAAAGTCCACATATAAAGATCTATTTGCTCTAATTGTTATATCTCCCACCACAGCATCAAATTTCTGTCAAGCAAACATATTAAATCAGAGAAATGTATGGGCACAGTGCGTAACTAATTGACTAATTGGTTATTTTTATATCAAATTTACCTGAAGATATACTTGATGGACCAAATCGTTGTAAGTGCCAGCACTGGTGTCATCCAGGCTTTGCAAAGGGAATGAGCTCGAAAGGAAGGGGGTAAGGTAACAGTTCCACTGCAGCCCTAAAGACATCGATACTAAACCCAGTGACATCTGTTTTATTAGTGCTAGAATCCTTGGTTACCGTAACAAACTCAGTAAAAGCAAACTTCACAGGTACTCCAATCCTCAACTTCGTGCCTTTTATTGGGATCTCCCATCCCCTTGGAACAGAGAGAGAATCTCCTGGCCATACAATCTTATCTCCAAAATTAAACATCCTCGAAATTGAAGGTGTACTAGTGTTTGTTGAATTCAATGTTTTCACCATTCCACTTTCCGGTGTCCAAAATGCGATTGTTCTTGCCTTATAACGATTTAAATTAACTATCTTAAAGGTTGATGATTGAAGTTGCCCATCTTTAAGACTGAAGTCACCAGCTATGCCTTTGAATGAAGTACTAGATAAGGCTTGGGCAAGTTTTGATCCATATTGAGAGACCTTGAAAGTATTAAGATCTGTCGAATTGAAGGATGAATTCCTCTTTCGCAATCCCAAGCTTGCATTAATTCCAACTTCTTCAACTGCCAAAGCTAGAGCAAAAGTGGCATCATAAGCCCAAAGTCCAAACACATCTACATCAACTTCCATGATGGCTGGATTGTCTTGTTGGAATTGCTTTTTCCACCGCATTTCGAACTGTTGGAGCTCCTTTGTTCTCTGAACATAAGTTTCAACTCCTAAGACTCCTTGCATTGAATTTAGGATGACTGGATGCATAGACCATAAACGATTTGCTACTCCGTTGGTCACAATCCAAACGTAGCCTTTACTCATCATTCCAATTTCTTTTGCCTTGGCAAATAGCTTAGAGAAATGTTTGGGCAACATGTGCACGATGAAGACTCTAGTTTGCATTGTCATCAACTTGTAAAGCTCGCTGCCAATTTGTTCATCAGTGGCTGATGGGGGAATGACACACCGATGAGGGACATGAGCATCAACCTCATGTAATGCATCAGTTAAAAGGGGTATGATTCCTTCTCCGTACGTATTGTCTACGTAAATTGGCACAACTTGTCTCCAGGCGAAATTTTTAACAATGGCACTTATGGCTTGCACTTGGTGAGAGTCGGTTTGTGCAATTCGGAAGAAGTAAGAGCTTTGGAGTGAAGTAAGAGAAGGGCTTGTTGCAGAAAATGATACAATGGGCACATTAGCTCGGTCTCCAAGATTAGCAACGAAGCTTGCCTGCATTGATGTCACTGGGCCAAGGATTGCTTGCACTTCTAAATTGTTTATCAGATCTAGAGCTGTGTCCCAATAAAAAAAAGTGGAAGTTAGGATTGATTCATTTGATTATATGAAACTTTTTTAGAAAGCTTGGCTGTACCACGGAATTTAAAAAGAAGTGAAAACTTGATATGAATCCAATTTTTGAACCAATATTAAGAATAGTTTATTTTATTAAAATGGGTTTGATCTTTTGAGTTTAGGATTATTTAGTTATCAATAATTATCTCTTTAATGATAAAATTTACTATAGGAATTAAATCTCTTCTTAATTAAATCTTTAATTATTTCTTCTTATTTCTTTTTCTTTTTGTTGTTTGTTCTTCCTCTTCCTCCTCTAAACCACGTTCATATATTTTATTTTTCATTTTTATAATCAACATATATCACAAGTTAATTGTATTTATCTACATATATGAAATATTATTTTTTTATAGTCAACGTGTATCACATATTAATGTGTCTTGCTCGTAGGTATATTATACTTTATGTACCTTTTAGTTGGGTTTCATAACTCACGATAGGTATATTATCCATTCGTGTATTTGATCCTTGAGTTAGGTCGTATATTGTGTAAGTGGATTTATGTTAGTATATTAGTTTTTTGTTAGAAGATATTAAGTAGATTAAAAATAAACCAATTTTTTAAATATTCAAAATTAAAAAATACAATAAAAAAGATGGAAGAAAGAGTAATACTGAGCTTAACCTAATATATAGTATGTTGATTTTTTGAGCCAAGATCTAAATGCCCCTTTTAAGAGAAAAAAAAAGAAGTTATTTCAAATCAGGGCGACATAAATCTTAACTTTCATAGGGTGAGGAAAACAAAATAAAAAAGGGAGGATTTCTTAAACTTATTAAGAGAATTATTTTCAGTCCTGCTCTCATAAGGTTTTTATTTTGAGGACCTATAAGGCTCAATGTATATGAGCTCATTTGGATGTGCTTTTAAAATTACTGAAAGCACTTTTAGAAAAAACATTTTTATCAAAAACTATTTCAGTCATTTCAAAAGTATATCCAAACGAGTTCGATAAAGATGAGATTATTTTTGTTTAGATCCAAAAACGTAAAATATTAACAATTTAATAAAGCAAAACCAACTATAGGTCTTTCAGGAAAGGAATTGGAGGCAACTTCGACCCTCAAAAAAGGACTGTGAGGGTTTTTGGTCTTGGTTCAAGGAACCACCAGACCTGATGTCTGACCTCTATGTGGTAGAATCTAATGGTTGATTGTCTGTGTGCGGGGCTGGCCTGTTGTCCTCTCTCTATGTTTTGACTTGTAAGCAGCCTATTTTGATTTAATGGATTTTCTATGTTGCTCTTCAAATAAAATAAAAATATAGTTCTTAGTTCCTTTCTTTT